CAGATATGAAGTCAAAGCTCTTGCCTGAGCTGGGTTCTTTGAAATTTTTTTTTTTTCCTTAGAGAGAGACAGAACCTTTATCTGCTGTCCAGGTTGGAGTGTGGTGGCAATACTCACAGCAGCCTCAAATTTCTGGGCCCAGGTCACCCTCCTGCCTCAGCCTTTCAAGTAGCTGTGACTATAGGTGCATGCCACCATACTTGGCTAATTTTTAAAATTTTTGTAGAGATGAGATCTCACTATGTTGCTCAGACTGTCTTGAACTCCTGCCCCGAAGCTTTCCTCCCACCCTGGCCTCCAAAAGTGCTGGAATTATCACCATGGGTGAGCCACTGTGCCCCGCCTCTTTCAAATTGAGAAGAATACAAATAAGATTTTTAGAAGAGAATTATGAAGATAAACAGGAAGTAAAGAAGCACAGGAAACTGTTTCATGGGGGCCTACTATCTCTTTCAAAAGCAGAATGCATCAACACTGTAGAATTTAGATATTTTGTTGGGCTTTCTGGGATTTGTGACCCTATCTTTAAGGTGACAGATTTTCTCCTTGCTTCCTTTGCCCTTGGTACAGCTGATTCTCTCTCCTATCTCTCGGTATCTGTTACTTTATGACTTCTGCTGCCTCCTGTCTTTGGCTTTCTCACTTCCCTTCAACGCTATACCACACAGATGCTTAGTACCATCTCCTCACTGTTCCCAGAACAATTTCTGTCTCCACAACTTAGTATTATTTTGAACACAATCCTTTTTTCCTTTCTCTCCACCTGTCAACAGCTTATATTTCAAGATTCCTTTGTTACTTCTTCCCAACAGCTCTAATGGGTTCTTGAGTGATTACTATGCGTGAAGCTCTCTTGCTGACTCATTATAAACTGATGGCATGGTCAAGAAATACAGTCTGAGAACTGAAGGCTATTTGTTCTTATACTTTACAATCTAGTTTATTTTGACTGCGGTACTGGATTTGGGCAGGTTATTTAGCTTTTCTAAGCTTCTCTTATCTGTAAAATGGAGATTAAAACAGTATCTATCAAACAAGGTTGCTCTGAGGATTAAATGAAATAATATGAGTAAGAGCATTCAACAAACTGCTAGCACAAAAGATGTGTATAATAGGGTTTTATTTTGTTTTTTAAATACAGAGTCTTAGCCAGGCTCTGTGGCTCATCCTGTAATCCCGTGCCTTTGGGAGGCTGAGGTGAGTGGATTGCTGGAGCCCGCGGGTTCGAGACCCGCCTGGGCAACTTGGCGAGACCTCATCTCTACAATAAATCAAAAATCATCTGGGCGTGGTAGCACACACCTGTAGTTCCAGCTACTTGGAAGGCTGAGGCGGAAGGATTGCCGGAGCCCAGCAGGTTAAGGCCGCGGTAGCCGGGAGCGGCCACTGCACTCCAGTCTGGGTGACAGAGTGAGACTCCAACTCAAAAAAAAAAAAATACAGGGTCTCGCCCAGGTTGGAATCCAGTGGAATGATTATAGCTCACTGTAGCTTCAACCTCCTGGACTCAGGAGATTTTCCCACCTCAGCCTGCTGAGTAGGTAAGACTACAGGCACATACTACCATATCTAGGTAAGTTTTTTGTTTTTGTTAAAGATGAGGTCTTACTATGTTGTCCAGACTAGTCTTAAACTCCTACCTTGGACAGATAAAAAGATATTCTCCTACCTTGGACTCCCAAAGTTTGGGGATTACAGGTGTGAGCCACTGCACTTGGCCAGATCTTTTTTTAATTTGAATTATCACTAAATGGCAAATGGTATGTTAACAATGACAAATGAGCATAACAGAGAACATCATTTGCTTTTTTTTTTTTTTTTTTTGAGTTGCAGTCTCACTCCTGTGGCCCAGGCTGGAGTACAGTGGCACGCTCATGGCCACCCTAGTGTTGACCTGCTGGGCTCCAATGATCCTTCCGCTTCAACCTTCCAAGTAGCCAGAACTACAAGCACGTGCTACTACACCCAGCTAATTTCTGATTTATTGTAGGTCTCATCAATTTTTGCCCAGGCTGCTCTCAAACCTGCAGGCTCAGGCAATCCACTTGCCTCGGCCTCCCAAAGTGCTGGGATTACAGGCTGAGCCACCGAGCACGGCCCATTATTTGCTTCTTAAAATGTTAACTGCCTTTTTCTTTGAGTTGGAATCTCACTCTGTTGCTCAGGTTGGAGTGCAGTGGCATGCTCACAGCCTCCACAGCCTCGACCTGCCGGGCTCAGGTGATCCTTCTGTTTCAGCCTCCCAAGTAACTGGGACTGCAGGTGCATGCTACCATGCCCGGCTAATTTTTATTTATTTATTGTAAAGATAAGGTCTCACCAAGTTGCCCACGCTACTCCTGGGCTCAGGCGATCCTTTCACCTCCACCTCCCAAAGTGCTGGGATTATAGGCGTGAGCCACTGTGCCTGGCTTGCTTTTTTAAATGTTAAGCTCCAAATTGCAAATGTTATAGATCTATTATTTGCAAATTTACCTGAAAACCTGGGCTTAAATTAACACTATAGAGTTAGCCCAACTCATCATAAGAAAAATAATCCTCAACTCTGTTTCTTTTCACATCAGGAACTTTGGGACAAGATGAGAAAAATGTTTTATATGCACTCTGTCTAAAACTCTTAAAGCATATTGAGGAGATGTTATCCTTGTTCTCAAGAGCATATTTATAATAAGAATATATATAGTGTATTATAAATAACACTGGGCTCAAGAGATGGTCTCGCTCTGTAGCACATTTAAACATAAATTGGGGCTATAGATTGGCATATTTTATGACACTGGTATTTATATTTAGTTAAATTTCTCTCAGCCATATTATACATGACTGAAGGCTGCCCAGACCTGATAAAGATAATAATAAACACTATCATCATATTACAAAAAGTGCTTTCACATACAGTCTCATTTGACTTTGAGTCTTGCATTATATAGTATTTCCATCTCCAAAATATAAAAAAGACTTGGATAATGACTAGTCTAAAGTAACAAAAAGCTGGGACTGGAACTTAGATCTCTTTCCTACACCTTCATGCTATTTATGCTACCACAGAAGCTCACAGCAATAAACCACTACTGGCATAACAGCATGTGTGCTCTACTGATCTACTTAGCATAAGTCTATGCAGAATAAATGTCACAAAGAAATGCAAAATTATTATTTTCAGGAGTGACAAGATATGGGTCAGTAACACTGTGACAATTCTGGGATCATTTTTTGCTAGTTAGCTTTTTCAGATTAATAAGCTTGGTAAGGCCAAGATAAATTTAGACAATAAAATTTTAAACCAACAGTAAACTGCCAGAAAAAAACCTTCATAAAGATGATACATCTAAGCCAACAAATAGTTCACGTTCTTATTCTGAAGAAAAATTTTAAACTGTTTTTATCAAAGAAATTTTGTTTTGATTAAACTTAGTAGCACTGAAGAACAAGTCCTGGAGAAACAGCTGAACGGGGGGGGGGGGGGGGGGGGGGAAGCGTAGTAAAGTGTAAGGTCTCCTGGAGAGCCACAAGAGTCAGACAGAACCCCTTAAGCTTTTCTTCGGAAAGCATCCAAACACGACAACCGCGGTCCTCTCGCCAAGAGCAGGGGATGGGATGAGCTAAAGCGCCAAAACGGGTGCAATCGGCCTCGCGTTTATTTTTTAGAAACCCCAACATCCCATTCTGTATAATACAGCCTCTTCTCCCACGTGACAGGGTGACAAGTGCAGCTTTTAAAAGTAATGACGTTTCTGTGAAGAACTTGATGCCCGTTGATGTCACTCACTGGTCACTCTGGAAGGAAGCAAAGCCAGAGCTGCCCAAGACGCCAGCATCCGTTTCCCCCTCCAGAAGCCGACACGGAACACACTACGAGTGGCTGGACTGGAGCCCTGTAGCATGGCTGGCTCATCACCTGCAACTCGTTTCCACTTCGGGTCTGACTTCTAGTTTCCAGCTTAGCCATTCTAGTGACAGGCAAGTCACTTCTCTGAGCGTTTCGTCTCCATAAACGAGAAAGCGGGTGGAGGACTTCAGGGCGCTTTAACCCGAATAGCGTCTGTGAGGATCGTGACCTTTTCTCCCGACGACGCAGACAGGACACATGGGTGCTGCCTCCCTGCTCCCACCCCTCTCACTTTCCCAACTTGGGCTCCTCAGGGAGCAGGAAGGAGCGTTCTCCCAACATCCCGCGTCCTTTGTCCCCACACCCGGCAGGGGAAGCGTCTCGAGGCGCCGGCCGGCCGAGGGAGGGCAGAGAAGACCCATCCACCCGCTGTCACCCCCTTCTGGGTCCGGCGCCCGAGCCCCAGGGCACGCGCGTGCTCGGGCTCGCCCCCCTGTCAAGGGACGGCCGCCGGACGCGCGTGCCGGGACCGCGCGGGCGGAAGCTGCTGGCAGCGCGGACACTAGGTTCCCGCCGGCGTGGGCGGGGGAAGGGCGGAAGACACACCCGGAAGTCAGTCTGGGGGGAGGGGAACCGGGGGTGAGGCTTCCGGTGGCGCAAAGGGTGTCGGGAGCGGCTCCCAGCAAACCTTCTTTCCTGGCCTTCGGAGCGACCACCGTTGCCGCCGTCGCTGCTCCCACGGTCAACGTTCGGGCTGCACGGCCACGGCGGCTGCCACCGCCACTCCCGTTGTACGCGGCCCAGTTCATACTGGTCCCCAGGCGGCCGCCGCCTTTCCAGCCGCGGCCGCGGCCGACATGTTGTGAGGCGGCGGCGCGGGTGTCTGAAGGATGGTTTGGCCGCGGCGGCGGCAACGGCTGCTGGCGGCGGCGGGGGCTCGGGCTCTGTAGAGCCGGGCCCGCGGGGTGCCCGCCCGGCCCGCGGCGAGCCCCGTGCCCTGGAACTTGCCGTGCTCCGGCGCCGCTGGGGACCGGTCAGGCGACAGCCCCCGCCCCTCTGAGGGGCACGGAGGTGGTTCCCCGCCGCTCGGCTTTGCGGACCCTCTTGCCTCCGCCCCCCACCTGGGCGGCCTTCTCTCGGAGCCCTCGGCCCCTCTGCTGCCCGGCCCACCTCTCCCGGCTCCCCATCTCCGGCGCCCTCTTCTCGGAGCGCCCCCGGACCGCTCTCCGGGGCGCCTGCTGGGAATTTCCGAGGAGTAGTGGACCGGAGCCGGGGAGTTTCTAGGTCGGGGCGCGAGACACAGGACGGTACTATGGCTTCCTCGTCTGGCAACGATGATGATCTCACTATTCCCAGAGCTGCTATCAATAAAATGATCAAAGAGACTCTGCCCAACGTTCGGGTGGCCAACGATGCGCGCGAGCTGGTGGTGAACTGCTGCACTGAGTTCATTCATCTGATCTCCTCTGAAGCCAACGAGATCTGTAACAAGTCGGAGAAGAAGACCATCTCGCCGGAGCATGTCATACAAGGTAGGTCGGGTGTGGGATCTGGTTTACACGAGGCCAACAGGAGGACGGCCAGCTGGTTGCGTGACCCGTGCGTGTCAAAGCCTTGAGTCCTCTTCCCTGGTAAGTAGTGTTAATGGAAAAGCCACACCGGCACGAGTTATCCGGTGCCTGAAACATTTCTGTGTAGCCTTCTTGCGGTTCTTTTCATGCCGCGGATACGAGTGAGGAGCGCAAACATTTAGGTCAACCGACATCCCCCAAACAAAGTAGTGAGAGTGAGCTCAGTTTACGACCAGCCAAGCCGAAGCTACAAGAACTGCCTGCCTAAAGTTGAACCCAGATACTAACAAATGAGAAAGGAATGCACGAGTTCTCCCTTGGAAAGTTGAAATCCTGGCAGAGGAACTTCAAGCATGAATAGAGACGGAGCACCCCTTCCCTACCTGACATTTTCACCAATGTAGAGGACAAGATTTAATTTCTGAAAACATAAATCAAAACTTTAACGTGAATGTGTTCAACGTTGTTAGGTTTATCGGTATTGAATATAGGCAGTATATTTCCTGCTTTAAGAGTGGTTTGGTGGTGATAGATACATTACCAAAGCACTCCTGTTCCATTTCGTAAGAATGGAGTGAATGTTTTTTAAAATTTCTTCTTTTTTTTCTTTCTTTCATTTATATCGTTTGCTTTGTTCTATGGAGATAAGATTTAAAAGCTTGGAATGAAAGGTCATATACTTTTTTTTTTAATGGAACACTTCCCTGTCCTTTCCTGCTGCCATTCCCTTTGGATGTATACACTTAAGCTTTTATTGAATAGCACTTCTGAAAGTTTCAGCAGTTTCTTTTATCTTGGAAGGGATTTAGTCCAGTAAGAGGGATTTAGGGGACTGTATTCTGATGTTTTCAGAGAAGGGAAACGCGCTAGTCAATGTTTTGGGAAGTACCTTTGGTGTACTTATTTGTACTCTTATGAGAGTTGCATTAAATTTGAGATGATAACTTGCCTTTCATAGTTCGTTAATTAAAATTCTAACAATTTCTTGATTGCTTTTGGAGTCAGAAAAAAATGGTTAATATAAATCATTTTGGTAGGCAGGCTGTTATCTACCATTTACTTTTTATAACTTAACTTTTTAAAAGGTACTTTTTTGTTACTCTGTAGTAGAGAACACATCTGCTCATATTGACCAAATCCAGTATTTTACTGTCAATATTGACAAAAGTTTTAAATGATTCGTTTTTGATCTTTTATGACATCCTGAAGGTAGATTTAAAATATACCTTGCCTTTTCAGTACATAAGGAGAAAAATCCCTGAGAAAAAGCATATTTGATTCTTAAGCTAAGGTTTTTTGGTTTTTTTTCCTACTTGTTTGATGTACTGAATACTCTAGCAAGTAAAATGAAAACCAAGTTATCTATCTTTTCCTGTTTTTATTTTTACATTGTGTGATTGCTGTCATAAGTCTTTCACAAGATTATCCAACACAGATAGCTGTAATTTCCTTTTAAAACTCATAAAAAGGAAAAAGAACCTTTTATCAACATTGCCTTTGTAATGAAAATTGCAAAAGAGATCAATGGTATCTGCCTAAACGTTTGTTTACACCACAGAAGTGGGGATCGTTCCAAAAATCTAATAACACGTTACAGTCTGTCTGAGGGAGTTTATTCTTTTCTAGGATATATTTAGATTTCTGATTGACATGATGGAATAGAAGTGCAGCTGTAGCAAGCAGTATGCTAAATAGTTCAACTTTGGAATATGCTAAAATCAGTTCAACATGTGAGTCAGAAAGTTAGAGTGAAAGAGCATTTCCTTTGTGAATGAGGATGTTTTATTAATTTTTTTAAAAATCATGTACTGGGCTTGATAGTCTTATAAATTTACCTTTTTTTCTTATAGCATTGCTATTGTTAAGTGGGTAAGAATCTACATTTTCACCCAAGAATTCTCCCCAATTGGGTAGAACATTTTATACATTTATAATTTCATGTTGCTTAATTATTTCAAAAAAGTTTTGAGAGGTTAAAATTTTTTTTTTAATGTTTTAGGTGTTTGAAGTGTGTCCTTATGGACATGGCAGACATGACATTTTTAATACTTTTCTGTCATCGTTGCTTGTTTAGGAATATAGGCTATATCCAAGTGGAATAATAATGTACATTTTTAAATGGTGTGATTCATAATTTAAAGTTTGGGTTTTTGGTCATAAGTTTAGTGAACTACACTTGCTTCAGGGCATTTCATTTGCGATCTTGCTTTATCTTGTCAGAGCAAATTAAGCGTTCTGAGGCAGTCAAATACAAGCTAAGGTTGTAATAATTTGATCACAAGTAAATCTGTGAAATACTATAACTTTTTAAAAACCAACCTTTTTGTTTCTGTTTTGCTTACTTTAAGAAAGTAGACTTGGTATTGAAAATCACAGATACATGAATAGAGGGAGTTCTAAAAAGGTGTTCCTATTATTTTGTTGCTTTTTTTTGTAAACACGTTTTCTTGGATGAGTTCAATCATGCTCTGTTGCATTATGGAAAGAATTGACTTTGAGAATCAAGATCTGTAAGTTCTACATTGGAAATTCTTTGGCCTTAGGCAAATTTGTTAACGAAGGTCTCCTCATTTCTGTATAAATATTACTTGATTTGGGTATCACTTGCAATTCTGAGAATCAGTCAGGGATTGATAACCTTACATGAAATATGTTACAGTAAATAACAGTTTTAAAAATTTAGCCTGCGCAACATAATATGACCCCATCTCTACAAAAAAAAAATTTTTTTTAATGAACTGGGTGTGGTAGCATGTGCTAACTACTCAGGAGGCTGAGGTGGGAGGATTGATTGAGCACGCAGTAAGCTAGGATTGTGTCACTGCACTCTAGCCTGGCAACAGAGTGAGACCCCGTCTCTTAAAAAAAAGAGAGAGAGAAAATATTAAAGTGGTACTGATTAAAATATAAAGCTGAAGGTCTGTTATAATTTAACTTTAGGTCATGATACCATTTGTAAAAGTAAAATATAAGTAAATATTATAAATTATATTATTTTCTTCATCCTGAATTTTTATTCTCTTGCTACACTTCTCCCCCCATATTTATAAGAATAGTAACTGAAAGTAGTAAAAGTTTGAAAGGTTTCTGAGAATTGCTTCAAGCTATATTGAAGAGTATTTTTTATTTCAGTCCTTCTCACACTGGTACCTCTGTAAAATAAAATAAAAATGGATCATCAGAAAAATGAAAAGCAGACAAAATAAAAACTCAGATTTGATTGTTAGATTCAGTAGACATAATAATTGCCCTGTCAAATTGCTATTAAGGTTCTTAAAAGTTTGCTTTGACTTTCCATACTTAACTCATTACAACCATTAGTAACAGATCTGGCACAAGTCCATGAACCACACTTTTGTTAGCTTTGCTCTGAAGCCTAAACCACAGTCTATTTTGGAAAGTAAATGTGAAGTCGTTTTTTGGGGTTATTTGTGTATGTATGTATGTATGTATGTATGTATTTATTTTGAGTCAGTCTCTGTGGCCCAGGCTGTAGTGCAGTGGCACGCTCACAGCCACTGCAGCCTTGACCTGCTGGGCTCAGGCAATCCTTCCACCTCAGCCTTCCAAGTAGCTGGAACTGCAGGCACACACCACCACACCTAGTTAATTGTGTGTGTGTGTGTGTGTAAGTAAGATTCGCTGTAGAGACCAGTTCTCACCAAGTTGCCCAAGCTGGTCTCGCCTGGCTAGTGTGTGTGTGTGTTTGTGTTCGCTGTAGAGACCAGTTCTCGCCAAGTTGCCCAAGCTGGTCTCTCCTGGCTAGTGTGTGTGTGTGTGTGTGTGTGTGTGTGTGTGTGTGTGTGTGTGTGTGTGTGTTCGCTGTAGAGACCAGTTCTCGCCAAGTTGCCCAAGCTGGTCTCTCCTGGCTAGTGTGTGTGTGTGTGTGTGTGTGTGTGTGTGTGTGTTCGCTGTAGAGACCAGTTGTCGCCAAGTTGCCCAAGCTGGTCTCGCCTGGCTGTGTGTGTGTGTGTGTGTGTGTGTGTGTGTGTTTGCTGTAGAGACCAGGTCTCACCAAGTTACCCAAGCTGGTCTTGAACTCCTGGGCTCAGGCTCTCCTGTCACCTCAGCCTCCCAAAGTGCTGGGATTACAGGCGTGACCCACTGTCCCCAGCCGTGAAGTAGTTTTAAATCAGAATCTGTGTACTGCAGAGAAATTGTATTGATAATGGGAATGATAAAAGTATATTATGTTACCTAAGTAATTATTCATTCAAATAAGTTTTTCCAAGGGATATGTGTAATTTGCATTGCACAATTTATCACATAATTGGCTACTTTTCAAGTTAGGATTTTATTACTATTTTCCTTAAAATTGATACATCTCGTTTTTGTTTTCCTTCTCCTTCTCCCACCCAATGGTTACTTATTGAATACTGCTATGTACTTGGCACTGTGTTAGATGCTGCTAAAGATATAAAGATGAATGAGGCTGTGCATGGTGACTCACACTTGTAATTCTAGCACTTTGGGAAGCGGGAAGATTGCTTGAGACCTTGCCTGGACAACATAGGAGACCATGTCTATACAAGAAAAACAATTATACGGGCATGGTGGCATGCGCCTGTAGTCCCAGCTACTTGGAAAGGTTGGCAGAAGAACTGCCTGAGCCCAGGAAGTTGAGGCCCTGGTGAGCTGTGATTGTGCCATTGCCCTCCAGCAGCAGGGTAAGACCCCAACTCAAAAATAGTGTAATAATGATAATATTCAGTCCCTTCTCTGCCGTTTGTCTCTCATTGTTGTCCAAGATTCCCAGGAATGGTCATACTGTGGAGGACATGGTTTTTAAGGATCTTCAGCCTAATGAGCCAAGAAGTTACTTTGGCCTACATCCTCTTAATGTATTTTGTTGTTTGTTTGTTTTTTGGTTTTTGAGTTGGAGTCTCACTCTGTTGCCCAGGCTGGGGTGCAGTGGCACACTCACGGCCACCCCAGCGTCAATCTGCTGGGCTCCGGCCATC